ATAAGCTCATTGAAATGTAAGAGCTAGTAACAAGCCTTAGCATTTGTAATTAATATAAGCCTCAGTGTGTTTACTTGGGAGCTGCTAGTGAGACAGAAATTTCTGCCTATAGAACTTATCTGAGCAGTATTCAAAATAGTTCTTAAGTGATCCTAACTATGCTTGTCCTTCAATTTTGTTCCCTTTAGCAAAATATAACAAGCTGGGCAGTCTTGTGTTATAGAAGTCCTTGATAAAAGGACTACTGTTATTCTGTGAAGACCTCACTGTGAGCACTCACAACAGAACCTGAACGTGCAAGCCCTCCACCCTTTTAAGGTAGACTTAATTTTTTAAATTGCAGATGTCTCAGCAGTTAAGAGCACAGGCTGTTCTTCCAGGGGCTTGGGGTTCAATTCTTAGTACCCACATGACAGCTGATATTTTTCTGTAATTCTAAAGCAATCTTCTGGTCTCTGTGAGCACTAGTCACTCAAGTAGTATACAGACATACATGCAGGTAAAATATTCATACATATAATAATAAATTTAAATTACATGTATGTATGTGTGTGAGCCCACACACTGTAACAATCATGTGGAGATCAGAGGACAACTTGTGAGAACCGGTTCTCAGTTCTTACCTTCCACCATGTGGGACCAAATTCAGGTTGTCAGGCATGGTGATAAGTACCTGGCCTGCTGAGTCATCTCAAGCCTTGAAGACTTATGAAAGGGGTCTTAACCTCATTAGTAAAAGAGGAACTCTAATGGCCTTATCTCTTAGAGAATCCATTACCATATTTCCAAAAATTGGGGTAGGGAGTCCAAAACACAAGTAACTACCAGAAGAAAATTAGAAACACTGAATCTCAGTTTTATTAATACTTTATGTATCTGAAGAAATTATTAACAAAACAAGTTTGTCAGTTTTTTAAAAAGTCATACAAAAGGAAATAATGGAAAAATATTGTTTTCAGACTTTTTTTATAAACAATCTCATTTGGATGTGGGAGCCAAGTATATTAAACTGAAAAAGAAATTTAAAATGTCTTTGGAATCTAGAGCCTTAAAAATAGCACATGAAAAAGCTGTTTTTGGAGTTCAAGGTTCAAATAAGTTGTGCTTTTTTTTAATTCTTGCTATTACAGATTTAATAATGGTAGGACACATAACTTCTTACATGAATTAGACACCAAGGGTAACCTGAGCTTATAAACTAAAAATGGAAATGAATGAGCTAATATTACATTATTGAACTGCTTAACAGGCAAGCTGTCAAAACCTCCTGGAAGGCAGGAAGCAGAGCTAATAAAGACTGGTCTTCCTCATCATCCTCAAAAACTCTTCTTCGTTAATCTCTCCATCCCCATCACGGTCTGCTTCGTCGAGCATTTCCTGTAATATAAACCATGACATGATAGACTGAATTCATTTAAGCATATAATGATGGAAACCCAACAGGAATTTTTGTTTTTACTGTGTAAGTACAACAAAGTTACATAAACCATGTACAATTATATGCACATTGTAATTATAAAATAAACACAATTTACCTGCAATTCTTCTTCTGTTAAGTTTTCCCCCAGTTCCTTAGCAACCCTCTTGATATTATTTAGTGATATGCTGCCAGTAGCATCGTCATCAAATAATTTAAAAGCCTTTAGTATTTCTTCTTTCTCATCTTTTTCACTCTTTAGAAAAGAAAATGTCATTGGTTATTTGTTTGTTTATTTGTTCTATCAAGCTGGACTTAGGAGGTCTATTATTTCTAGAGTTCTGTGTGCATACTTTTAGCAGGAGGCAGAGTTCTCAGCCTAGTGCCCCTTTTAACAGTTATTTCAACATGCTCACACCTGCCCTTGAGATACATAAGACAGCAAACTTGAAGAGCCAGGGGTATTCTCAGGGACAGTGGCATAGCAGGCACTCAGGCACAGGGCTTTGAGTTTGGCCTCCTTCCATCTTACCAGATGTCAGTATGTCCTGACAGAACACTTCTCTACAATCTTACCACTCTGAAGACACCTGTTCTCTCAGTGCTATCATATCCCAGCCACCCTTAACTATTCCTCCATGAAATTCCCCCAGTTCCTCCATGAAATCTCTACACCCCAGGTCCAACCATGTACAAGGCTCTGAAGGCATTTCTCTTAAAAGTAGAGTGACTATACCATTTTCACACTCATAATGGCAAAAAAATCTTCAAAACAAATAGTGCCAGTCCCTTCTTTGTCGATTTCCACTATCATTTGTCTAACTTCTTCTTTCTTTGGCTCAAATCCTAAGGCTCGCATTGCAATCTGCAACAAGAATAGAATATATTTTAATATGCCATGATCTCATTTTGAACTTTTAAATCACCAATAGCTTCTTTGTTCTCTAACACAATCTGAGCACAAAGCTAATCCTACTATGACAGAGTATGTAACCTTCATAATTCTGGGACTTGACTCACTCATCAACCAAGAGCACAACTAAAATGTTAAAAGATATTGTATTGTTTACTCGGGGCTGTATACATACATACCTTTTGGAATGTTAAAGTTGTAAAGAATATCACAATTATGGACTGTGGGCTAGCCTAGACTAGGTAAAGCCCTGGGTCCTATCCCCACAAGACAGACAGACAGACAGACAGACAGACAGACACACACACACACACACACACACACACGAGTTTGGTTTTTCAAATGTCTTAGAAATAATTTCAGAACCTTCAATTCTTTCACATCTATGGTTCCAGACCCATCAACATCGAACAAGTCAAAGGCCTCTTTTATTTCTTGTTTTTGGGCATCATTCAACTCAACTTTTGCTGCTTTTTTCTTCCATTGGTCTAAAGTTGTTCGATGGCTGGATGCCTGCAATAAGTATACATGTGGGTGAAAACTATGCGACTAGAATGCACAAATTCAAGTATCCTGTTTCCTTCTATAGAATGAGCTCATTCCCCCTTTTTAATGCTTTTGGTTACTAATACCTTTTTCCGCCATCTTTTGAGACAGGATCTTCCTACAGAGCCCAGACTGGCCTACAACTCTCAATCCTCCTGCCTCAGCCTCCTGAGTATGATTATTAATCTCTTGATTGAAAGTGTGGTGTTATTCCCCTCCCCCCCCGCCCCCCCCCCGCTTAGATTTTCCTCATAAAACCAGTGCCTTTGAAGAGAGCAACAGCTAAGGAAGGTAGTGTAGAAATGTATGTTGTTAGCCTTGGTTTATCAGAAAAGTATTAGCTTAAAGAATGTATGCTTCTCATATGTGTATCGCAGTGCATGCTGGGGGAATACACAATTGCTCTCTCTCACTCTCCATGAGCAAGTGTCCTACACTACAGAAGGACAAAAGTCAAAAACCACGGTTTTGAGAGTACCAGGTGATCCTACATTCAAAACAGCTGGACAAAGTAGCCTTAGAGACTACAGCCAGGATTTCTGAATCTTCTTCGAATCCCCCAAGACAGCGCCCCTTACCAGCAGGAAGTAGTTTGGAAAGAACGACGCCCAAATTCCCAAATATTGTCTATAAATGTTTGTTTTCACTTAAATGGACTTGGTTATATAAAATAATAATAAAAAAACCCCACGGTTTTGATGAACAGCTACCCCACAGATCTGAATGACAATGTTTGGCTTAATGTGTGTAAGATGAAGGTCTTCTCTGCTGTTTGCTTCTGTCTGTCACCAAGCTGGGCCACACAAGTACTACATATTCTCTCTGCAGGTGGAAGTGAGGAAGCCCTACATTGCCTGCACTATATTAGTTATTGGCTGAGGTCGCTAAGGATTCTTGGCTCTAGAGCTGCAAATTTTGATGAGTGTTCTTCCTAGAGTCTGCATTTTCTCAGCAAGAAGTCAGTGGTCCCTTAGCTGTGAGTGGCCATAGTTGGTGGACCCCTGACCATCAGGACTTAGTGATGGCCCCCTCCCGTGAAAGAGTTACTCTCTAATCATCTGGGGCTAAACAGGTGCCCAGCTTCCTGTCAGCAGCTGAGTTGATGGCCCTCTGACTCCCAGTGGCTAAGTAGATGGCCCCTACTTGTCAGCAACTGAGTTGGTGGTCCCCTGACCCTCAGTGGTTGAGTCAGTGGCCCCTTCCAGTCAGGAGCTGAGTTGATGGCCTGCTAGCTGTAACAGGTGGCCCTCAGCTGAAGGCCTCTGTCGCCTTCTTTATCCCTATCTTGAAGGTCCTCAGTTTGGGCACGGGTCCCTGAGGCTCCAGGGCTGTATCTTTACATGGACCATCCGTTATAGACCGTTTATCCACCGTAGGTGTCGGTGGATAAACGAGAAGGGAGACCCATCTCTGTCCCCTGGCTTAGTCATTAAGGGGATGCAAGGATCCTGGCACGAAAGTCAGTATACTGGGACAAACAACCAAGTCCAACAGCACTCACCATGTCCCCAACCCGCTCCCCCGCCCGAGAGCCCGCGCCTCGCAACGTCTGCCCTCCCCTTCCTGGCTGGCGCTCAGGGCGGGCCGTTGCTAAGGCCGCTCTCGGAGAGTAAGCCCACCCACCAGCTCTGTGATTGACGGCCATTTCACCCAATGGGAAGAAAGAACTGCTCTGACAGCACGCAAGCTGCCACTTGGCTGGCTGGGTTCTGGAGCGGCGCGCGGTGAGGAGGTTCGAAGGCCCAGTGGGCCGCAGGGCAGGGAGGGTGGGAGCGAGAGCTGTTTCTCGCGTGTCCTCAGACGGTCCACACACCGGACCAACCGTCCTGCGGCCCTCCTGCCTCAGAGCCGCTCGAGGGAGGCGTGAAGCCGGAGGTGCTGCGTCGCGCTCGCCGACCGGGCGGGAAGGGGGGAGGATGACGTGCTCGCCTCTCGCTGCACGGTGTCCTCGCGGGGCGGAAGGTCCCCCCGTGGACCGAGGATGGCTTGAGCCACAGGCTTTCTCCTAGGCAGGAAGAATGCAAAGCAGTCACTTCCTAGTGTACTGTGTAAAGCACGGCACATTTCCCAAAGCCTCACCTCGCAGACACAAGTTGTAGTCCTTAAATCTCCTTAGGTCTTGCATAAGAAACCATTTTTCCTGTCTTCAGTTTCCTAATGGGAATTCAAATGAGGCAGATTCAAAATACTTTGGGAATGAAGTAGTGTTGAATCATTTAGCTATAGTCTGTTTCTTTTTCAGGAAGCTCTGGCTGTCCTGGAACTCACTATGTAGAACAATTCCTCAGTTTGAGCAATGATCGATCCCTGGTTATGCCCAGCTTAAAAAAAAGTAATGGTAAGTCCAGATTCCAGTATCTAAACCTTGATCAGGATACCCCAGCCTTGAAATGTGACTGTTGCTATTCTGTACATAAAATTTTAATAATAGCTAGCAAAATAGTAAAGACGTACACGTTATTAAATTACCAAATTTATCCAGTGCACTCTACATTTTACACACCGTGGCAGGTACTGGTGTGCTTGAAAGAAACTTAGTAAAAAGGAAACGTTTGATTTGGGGCACTTGATCATTTAGTTATGTTTCTGTTTTTGTTTTTGTTTTGTTGTTGTTTGTTTCAGAGGTAATTCTAATTATCATTTGAAGGAGGAGCAATTAAAAATTGAAAAGCAATTAAAGGCCCCAACTAAGGGGTCCAAAGGTACTTGAAAGAGGAATACTAACAATAACATCTCTTTGCTCCTTTAAAGTTTGTGCTCCTTTAACAGATATTTGTTGACTGCCTATAAGGTGTCAGTGTTCTAGGTACTTGGGATATTTCAGTGACTAAAGTTGTCTGGAAAATTGTTTCAACAGAAAATGATGGCCTGCATATAATAAATGTACTGTGTTCATTTTGTAATGTTTCAGAGGATAAGAAGAAAGTAGAGCTGATAAACAGTATCTAGCATCTGGAAGGAAAAAGGGTTTGTGGTTTGTAATAGGTTGAGCAGGGTGAACCTCCCTGAAAAGGAAATTTGGGGATTTAAAGATTGTTAAGGCAGTAGGTTTCTTGGAGAAGAGCATCGTGGAAAGAGGGACATGTAGAAGTACTGAGGCAGTACCTTACATTTTCTAGAAGCACAAAGGAGGCCTGAGCAAAGCAAAATAGACAAATAAGGAAGGAAGAAGTGTGGGTTTTAGTGTGTGTGTGTGAGGATATCATGGCCTTTACTTGGAGGGAGTTAGGGAGTCTGTAAGATTCTGAGCATAGATATGAGAGGGTGTGACCCACTTTTGTGAGAATTCCTGCTGCCAGACAAGGAGTGAAGACTTGTGAGAGGCTTCTGAGCAGATGAGTGGTACAGTTACGTTATCTTGTCAGATGTGTGTGTGTGTGGGGGGGGGGTTCTGATGATAAAAAAATTCTATTTATACACATCAAGAAATAAAATATAACTGCTGAAAAGCATATCTAAGTGTCCTAACCTGAATATTTACCCAAGATGAGTTACAATCTTTGGATAGAAAACTTCTGAAATCAACATCCCAGTTGTTGTCATCTGACTCTGCCCTCCCATTGCAGATAAAAAGTTAAGGAAACATTATTGGGACGAGCAGTAAGATTGAACTGTTTGTGGAAACACCGTGTCAGGCATCCCAGAACGAAAATCAGGCAGTGTTAGGACAGTGCCGATAACAGTTCACAGTCATTGCCTTTTTTCTACTCAACCTCTTAGAAATGGAGGCATTCTTATTTTGAGTTTGCATTCATGATTAGCCCATTGCAACCTCTTCAAACCCATTTAGGAATGCTTCCAAAGTTAGGGATGCTAAGACAGTTATTGCTCAAATTTGAAGTAGATTCTTCAACTGCTAAAAGATCTATTTGAATATTAATTTTGATATCTGTTACATATGATTTTTTCCTTGTAGATGGCTGAAATCCATCCTTTGTCTGGAAAAACAGACTGAATTTGAAATACCTATGGGTTTTTCCTATTGTTCCAGGTTGTTTTCCACTCACAGAGAGAGAGTGGTGTCTTTTAGTTTAATTATGATCTAGGAAGGAGACCATAAGCAGAACTCTTATCACCCCCTGTAAAAGACATAGATGTCTGCAAGTCAAGGGTCTCAACAGATCTTAGAAGAAGATGGAGGGTCTGAAAGAGGGAAATGAAGATGCTAAAGAAGAGAGAATAAGTTAGGGTGGAAGTGAGGCAAAACATAATTGATGCATTAACCTATAGACTTGGGCAGTGGTTACATGGGCATGGGGGTTTTACCTTTTTATTGAAAGTTAGGAGATTTTGTGATTTTTTTTTTTTTTTTTTTTTTTTTTTTTTTTTTTTTTTTTTTTTTGTTTTTTTTTTTTTTTTTTTTTTTTTTTTTTTTTTTTTTTTTTTTTTTTTTTTTTTTGAGACAGGGTTTCTCTGTGTAGCACTAGCTATCCTGGAGCTAGCTCTGTAGACCAGAATAGCTTTGAACTCACAGAATATCCACCTGCCTCCCCTTCTCTGGAGTGCTGGTATTAAAGATGTGTGCCACCACTGCCCTGCTAATGTTAGGAGATTTTGTACATGTTAATTATCATGCTTGAGTTTCCACAAATAGCTTAATTATTTTAGTATTAACCTTGTGTTTCTGTTGTGATTGAGTTTGTGATATGTGTTAAGCATCTCATATAAGGAAAGCTCTCAAATTTTGCTAGCAGTGAAAAATAGCCAGATTTTTAAACTTGTCCTTTCAACAGTATTTCTCCATCAGCCTGTGGCAAATTATAAATATAGATGAAAAGAAAAAAAAAAGTATTTAAAACAGAAATGTCTGGGCTTCAGAACTTAACAGAAAGCTATAGTTTTGCAACAGTATGGTGTTGGCATAAAATGATAACATAGTCCAATGCAGTTGCATTGACAGCCCAGAAATAAACTCATATATGTATAGCAAGTTCATTTTCGATAAAGGTACAAGAACATACAAGAAAAAGACTAGTTCATTTAACAGGAGGTACAGAAACAGCTGGATAGCCACATGCAAAAGGACCTTCACCTCATACCATATGTAAAAGTTAGTCTCAAATAAACCAGTAAGATAAATAATGTATAGAGTTCTGAAGAAAACACTGGGTTAAATATGTATGATTTGGCAATGGATTCTGCATATACCAAGAGCATGAGCAACAGCACCAACAAATAAATGTTAAATTTTACCACAACCAAAAATTTTTATGAGTCAAAAAGCATTATCAAAACAGAAGACATATCCTATAGGGCAATTTATTATACAAATCAGAAGAGACATCCTATAGAACAATAGATTGTATTTGCAAATCAAATAGGGTAGCTCCTCAGTGTCCATAGGGGAATGGTTTGAAGACTCCAGTACGGAAACTAAAGTCCACACATGCATAAGTGCTTTACATAAAATGGTGGAGTATTTAAATCTAGCCTACACACATGCTTAGGTATATATTATCCTTAAAATTACTATAGTAATAGACTAAGAAAATGTAAGTGCTAGGTTCATAGTTATTATGATACATTGCTTAAGGAATGATAACAAAATATAGGTTATATGTTCAAAGCAGATGCAGAGTTCATTTTTGTGTTTTTCAAATATTGTCTTATCAGTGGTTGGTTGGATCTGAGTTTGAGATCGTCTGTTGTTTCATAAGGCTTTACTATCTGACATGTGTAAAGAATGCTTACAACTCAACAACACAAACCTTTAATAACCACTCTTAAAATAGGCAGAAAACCTCAATAGGCGTTTCTCCAAAGAAGACATACAAATGTCCAGTAGGCCCATGAAAACATGTGTATATCATTAGTCACTTGGAAAATGGAAGTCAAAAAATGATAAGCTATCTTTTCACATCGGGTAGGGTGTTTATTTTATAAAAGCAAAATATTAGTTGTTGAATGTACTAGTAACTGAATAGTACGCACACCACACACACACACAATTCATATCCATCCAGAATGTGATTTTAGTTAAGATGAAGTCATACTGGATTGGGGTAGGCTGTAAGTCCAATAACTGCTGTTGTAATTAACAAAAAGGACAATTGAAACAGGCAAAGATTAAAGTTATGCAACTAAAAGCCAAAGAATGCCAGGAGCAACTAGGAGTTGGAAGAGAAAAAAAGGATCCTTCCCTAGAGTCCTGAGAGGAAGCACTGCCCTGCAGCAGCATCATCTTGAGAGTATGAATGTGTATTGTTTGAGCCTCCTGACAGTTATAATTTTGAGAAGCAGCCCTGGAAAACTAACACAGTAAGAATGTGGAGAAATCCAAACCTTTGTTCCTTGCTACTGGCAGTGCTGTACTGTTTGGGAAAATATCTGGGCAGTTCCCTAAGCTAAACATAGAATTACCATATGGCCCAGGAATTTCACTTCTAGATTTATAGCTAAAAGATGTGGAAGCAGGTTCAGAAATGCACTTTTACAGAAATGTTCATAGCAGCACAAGTACACAAGCTCAGTAGCTAAATGGTGGAAACAACCCAAATGTCTAGCAGTGGATAAATAGATATATAAAATGTACCTCCCAAGGAATATTATTCCACTAAGAAAAACAGTGAATTATTGTTAAATAATAAATGTGGAAGAACTCTAAAAATAGGTAAATAAAATGTAGAATGGTCATATATTTCATTATTTCAATACCAAAAATAGGTCAAAACAGATTAAAAGCAAATTAGCAATTACCATTTACAAAAGGAAACAGAGTTACTGCTTAGTAGAGTTGAGTAGAATAAGTAGCTTTCAGGTTTTCCTTCAGGTAGCTTTCAGGCTGTTAAATCTTTTGGAGCAAGGTAGAGGTGGTAGTTATGTAACATTGTGAATGTAAATGTGAATGTAAATCTAAATTGTATTCTTTAAATTAAAATCACTTCATTTCATCAAGATTAGTAACCTTACAAGGAAAGTAAAATGAAGTAAAAAAAGAGGCAGAGGATTTGAGGATATGATGTATGGAGTGATTGAAACCATTGATAAATGTAAAAGTTTAGTAGGGAAATGATATTGCAGAAGGAGGTGAAGGACCAAAAAAGTAAGACCAGACATGATAAATCTAGGATTGTTCAAGTTTATTATATTTTAACGCTATCAAGGTATATGTGTGAGTGTATTGTAAGTGTTCATTATATAAGATCTGAAAATTTCATTGAAGAAAAGGACATGAGACCGAGTTCATGTAATGCCGTAATTACTGCTGGACCTACCCATTCTTTCTACCTTAGTTTTTAAAAACCTGTAGGAAACTATTCCGGAAGAATAGTACCTGTGATTGTTCCTAAAAACTGTGTAGACAGAAGTTTCTGTCCCATCTGGTCCCACAGGCATTTGGTCCCAAATAAACACACAGAGGCTTATATTAATTATAAATTCTTTGGCTCATGGCTCATTCTTCTTATTGGCTAGCTCTCTCTTAATTATTAATTAATTTCTATTAATCTGTGTATCTCCATGTGGTCTTGGCTTACTGGAGAATGCCCAGACATTCTACCTTCCCATTAGCTACATGGCATCACCTTGACTCCGCCTTTCTCTATCCCTGTTTGGATTTCCCACCTGGCAATCCTGTCTGTCCTTTGGCCAAAACAGCTTCATTCATCAACCAATAAGAGAAACATATATTCACAACATATAGAAGGACATCCCCCATCACTTTCTCAAATGAATATAGCTAGTTCAGAAACAAATTTACCAGAGGTATGGTCTGTATCAGAACAAGATTCTGATTAAAAATATTCGAAGAATCATAAAGTTGTAGTATCACTTACCTTAGCTTCAATTCCTCAACTAGTAAAGTTCACACCTCCCAAGGCAATAGTTTTTTGATTAAAAAGTACTATTGTTAGCCAGGTGTGGTGGCACACACCTTTAATCCTAGGTTTAACCCCAGCACTCAGGAGGCAGAGGCAGGAAGAACTCTATAAATTCAAGATCAACCTGGTCTTCAGAGTGAGTTCCAAGATAGCCAGGGCTACACAGAGAAACCTGGTCTCGACTCCCCCTCCCCCCAAAAAAGGAAGTACAATTATTTGAAAGCTTTTTAGTATTGAACTAATAGTCTTTCTATTGGTATTCATTTTGGATGTGACTTCAAAAATACTATATTGAATAATTTTAATTGCCCTTGGATCTCCCTTTAAATAGCACATTTTTTTCCTTCAAAATGTAATCAATACTCAAATCTTTCTCCCCATTGTCTGACTTCATTTTTCTTAAACAATGAAGTGGGCACTCTACTTCAGTCTGGTATTTAGCTGGTCAGTCCAAACTTACCAGAATGGTAATATATGTCAACACAAATAAAACTGTGTGCTAAGCACAGTTCTGAGCACCGTATTCCTCAGACTAGCTGTGAATTAGCCTATGTATTAGCCTCATTTTTCCAGAAGTGTAAAGTGAAGGGCTTCCCATCTGTTAAACTCAGAAGTGCAGGCTTTAAACACTACATCAAGTGATTCTTAATCTCAACACAACTGTAGGATAGCATGAAATGTCCTCATAATCCAACTCCTCCTCTACTAGAGCCTTAGGTCCTTCAGTTCAATGCCATAATACCAGGCTTCTTATATAACTCCTATTTTTTCTTTTCTTTTTTTTTTTTAAACACTTGTACATTTATTATCACCCCTTCAGCTTGCTGGCTCAGCTTGCACAGTTACCCTGCAGATGACATGATGGAACACTCCTGTAATTCTAGCACTCTCCAGGTGGAGAGTGATCACAGATTTAAGGCTATCCTGATCTATATATATAGTATGATCATGTCTCAAAAAAAAAAAAAAAAAATCACAGCATAGCTGGGTGTTGATGGCCTCTGCACTTGGGAGGCAGAGGCAGTGATCTCTGTGAGTTCAAGGCCAGCCTGGTCTACAGAGCGAGTTCCAGGACAGGCTCCAAAGCAATACAGAGAAACCCTGTTTCAAAAAAAAAAAAGAAAAAAAAAAAAAAAAAAAAAAAAAAAAAGAAAAAGAAAAGAAAAGAAAAAAAAAAAGAAAAAATCCATAGCACAACTATGCTTCAGGTCTCATTCTAAAGATTGCCTTCTGGAAACCTTCCTTGTTTGTTGCCTCATGTTCCTCTGCATTTCCTCTGCCATATGGAGTAGTCAACCCTCTACACATCCTATCCCCCAAGCCCTTATGTATCATCACACTGATCATTGTAATTGAAACTCTATCCAAAAGTGTAACTGTGTTTTCTTTACTTTATGTAACACTTGTCATCATCAATCATTCAGTAAAGTTTCAAGTCTTCATTTATTTGCAGATAATTACCGATGATGGCTTACAGAGTCATAAACAAAAGAAGACATGTGGGACTTCAACAACTTTCATCATTTGCACAAACCGGAAGAAGTTTCCTAGGCCCAGTAAAAGCCACCAAATTTATTACAAATGCAGAGTGTCATGAAAGTATGTTAATCAGCTCAACAGTCAGACTTCTTGAAGGTTTGGATTTAACCTGTGCAACGGGACAGCTTCTCAATGAAGCAGTTCAAGCACAAAATGGCACATACAGAATCGGAACCAGCACTCTCTTGTTTCTTGTTGGTGCATGGAGCAGAGCTGTTGAAGAATGTCTCAATCTGGGTGTTCCTACTCCAGTAATAGTGTCAGTAATGACTGAAGGCTTGAGTTCTTGCATTGAAGCAGTCGTTTCCCTTCAAGTACCCATATACAATGTATTTGACCACATGGACAACACAAGTACAGTTGATGTCAGCTTATATCCTTTTCTACAAGTCTCTTCAGATCCTGGGTTGTTACAGGAAAAGCATGATTTCGAAGATGCTACATCTCAGTTATTGTCCACTTACAGTCTTTCTGGAAGACATGAAGAGTCATCCAAATTCTTCAAAACTCAGGCTAAGGTTGAAACAGAAAAAAACACACCACAAGCTCTGCAGAACAGCCTGTATAGAGATTCCTTCTTCAGAAATTCAGCATTAACTCACAGTAGGCATTTTAACAGGGCAGATAATAGCCACTGGATAAACAGAACCAATGGATTTCTAGAACAATGTGGATCGATACCCAGAGCTTCTAGATGTAATGATTTGATGGAGTTAGCAGTTGGCTTGAGCCATGGAGACCACAGCAGCATGACATTGGCAGAGGCAGCTGTGCGGCTGCAGTGGCAGAGTGTGTCCCTGCAGCAAGACAACTGTGAGACACCATTTATGTTTGACATTTCAAGACTCCTCACTTGCTGTCTCCCGGGCTTACCTGAAACTTTTTCTTCTATTTGTTTAGGATATGTCACTGTTGTGCCCATGTCTAGTATTGCTCTGATAAAGGAATTGCAGGACCAGCCTTTCCGGATGATTCTCATCGAGGGTGACCTCACAGAGAGTTACCGCCACCTTGGATTTAATAAGTCTGTAAATATTAAGACCAAGTTAGATAGTAGGAAGCTTCCAGAAGACAGTGCAGAAGAACTGTGGGCTAAAAGTGTGTTGCAGGTGTTAACCCAGTTTGATGTGAATCTCATCCTGGTACAAGGAAATGTATCTGAACACTTAATTGAAAAATGCATGCACAGTAAGCGGTTGGTAATTGGTTCAGTGAATGGCAGTGTGTTGCAAGCTTTTGCAGAAGCTACAAGAACAGTGCCAGTATCCTATGTCACACAAGTGAATGAAGACTGTGTGGGCAGCAAGGTCTCTGTGACCTTCTGGACAAGTTCTCATGATATAAACAGGAGCAACAGAATGGCAATCTTGTTAAAAACAGAAAAAATTAATTTGATTACAGCAGTACTCACTAGCCCAATAAGTGCTCAGGTGGAAATCAAGGAAGACAGGTTCTGGTCTTGTGTATATCGTTTATATCATGCCCTAAAAGAGGAGAAGGTTTTCCTTGGAGGTGGTGCTGTTGAATTTTTATGCCTTAGCCATCTTCAGATTCTTGCTGAGCAATCTTTAAGTAAAGAAAATCATGCTTGTTCAGGGTGGCTTCCTGATTCTTCCTCTTGGATGGCCTCATCTCTGTCAGTCTACAGACCTACTGTGTTGAAGTGCCTGGCAAGTGGGTGGCATGAATACCTGTCAGCTGTTATGTTTAACACTGCCACTCACCCATCAGCAGTGGAAGCCAGCATGTTCATTCAACATCATGTGCAAAATGCCACCAACTCTGGCTCTCCTTCATCTTATATCTTGAGCAAATATAGTAAACTAAGTCATGGACTTTTTCATTCAGGTATTTCAGATAAACTGGAGGTAGTTCCAAGAGTTTATGATACTGTTACACCAAAGACTGAAGCATGGCGCCGAGCATTGGATTTAGTGCTCTTAGTGCTTCAGACAGACAGTGAAATAATTACTGGACTTGTACACACAGAGATAAATTCACAGGAATCAGATGGAGTTTTATTTTTGTAGGGTTAAATCTTTGGGAAGTAAGCAATATCAATAAAATTTAAGGTATGTGCGTGTATGTGTGTGTGCATGCCCAAGGAGGTGGATCCCTTGGATCTATAATTATAGGTTTATAGATAGGGCAGGTGCTGAGAACCCAACTATGCAAGAGCAGCAAGCACTCTTAATCTTTTAGGCATTTCTCTAGCCCTAATATTTATATTCAGATCACAGTTTCTAAATTACTAGTGATTACCAAGAATGAGTTGATGTCTATCAATACTGCAGTTCTGGATCTTACCCTATTTATAAGCCAACAAATTAGCCTGTTATTGTTTTCACAGGTGCTATAAGATACATCCAGATCCAGGCAGAGCTTTTGTTGTTTGCAGCAAATTTGTATTCAGAGTGTTGTGTTGGTTTTGTTAGTTCCTTGACCTGTGTGTCCCACAATATCAGCACAGATGGCCAGTGGCAGGACCTGGAACAATGGATGTTCTCTTGTACAGCAAACACTGAACTTGTGATATTTACTGCTTAAGCAGAAACAAACCCACTTATTTGTCTAGCAGGAGTGATTACATCCTTCAACATTGCTTAAGTCAAACCAGCCATGGACATGGGCTAGTCCAAGGCCTTGTATTCTTTGCATCAACAATAAGTGTCGAGATGTTGTCTCAGTTACCTCTCTGTTGCTGTAATAAGACTCTGACCAAGGCAACTTATAAAAGGGTATTTAATTTGGGTTTATGGTTTCAGAGTGGTAGAGCCCATGATGGCAGAGCTTTCTAAAGGCATGGTGGCAGTAATATCTGAGAACTCGAATCTTGCTCCACTACTAGGAGGTAGGGACTTGTGGTGGGGGAATTGTATAAGTCTTGAAACCTCAAAGACTTCACCAAATGTAACACACCTCCAACAAGGCCACACCTCCTAGGCCATCCCAAATAGTTCTATCAAGCCTGCCTTCTTTCCATTATTCTTCAAGCATTCCTTTAGAGAAATACCTTGGTCCTTTTTTTTTTTTTTTTTTTTTTTTTTTTGTCTTTCCTTTTAAACCCTCACAACCAGTATAGTCAGTATTAACGTTAAGGGGATGGTTTTCCAAAGCTTCTTAAATGTGTATGTCTGTTTAAATACATTTTGACCCCAAAGTGGCATCACTGGACATACCACCAAAGTGTCTATTTCTATAGATTAATCTATTCAGCAATTTACATAATATTCTTAAGAAGAGTTCAGTGGTGTCTGTCACCATCACTCCTCATCACCACCTGCTTGGGATTCCCCACCTTACAGCCAGTTTCCAATTGGAAGATGGTAACAAGTCTTTCTGTCCTGCCAGCCTGCTCCCAGATGATGGCATGAAGACTTCTTATTAATTATAAAGGCTCAGCCTATAGCTTAGGCTTGTTCCTAACTTATAATTTAAATTAACCCATGTATATTAATCTGTTCTATCATGTAGCATTGCCTCTCTGCCATTTTGCACCTCCTGTGTCCCTGGCTTCCCCTGTGTTCCTAGATTCCCCCTCCTCTTCCTTTCTCTCCCTGCAAATTCCACCTATACCTCCTGCCTGTTTATTGACTGTTCAGCCTTTTATTACACCAGTCATAGCAAATACATTCACTGTACAAATATCCCACAACAGAAGATGAAGAAAGATCGTTGAAACTTTAAGACTCTGTTACAGTCTCATAAAGGCTGTTAATCCTCCCAGGCTTGTATATACATAACTCATCTGAACTTTATCTTGGTAGATTATATGAATTAAGATCCTAAATCTTCTAAGTATTTACCCACAGTATTAAGTTTCATCACTCATTCAGATAATTTTTAGCAATGAGAAGGAAATAGTAGGGGCGTGGAAGCTCACATTCTTATTTCTATTCTTTTTAGCTGGGGATTCATAGTGTTCAGCTATTTGTTCATTTGTTTATGGCCAGCACAAAACAGTGCAGTGTGTTAATGAACATTAACATAGCAGAAACTAAAGTCAGCATCTCTCTGCAAAAGCTTCTTCTCATGTTGCACCCAGTTACTCTCCTAAAGTTGTAGTTAGAACATTTGATTCCATTGGTCCTTTACTCAAAAAAAAAAAAAAACCAAAAAACAGAAAACCTTGTGAGGCCTTCTTTCCTTTGACCTGTAGATGGCAGACTTCCTCTCCTGTGATCCGCAAATTTGCAGATCATGTTTAAAACCCTCCAAATGAAAGATTCTTTCAGAGCAGGCTAACACCAGTCTGTAGGGCATTTCCTGCACCACAGGCCCACAGGCTGTTCTTTCTTTGTTCCCTGCTCTAGAGGTCTTCCTCTGCTGTTACCAAGCTGTTACCAGGCTTGGGAAAGTGATTCAAGTTCTCTCAAACTACTCCTGGGCCCTTAAATGACAGTTGAATGGCATCACTCTTATGGTCATCTCCAGCTCTAATGTTGATTTAGTTATAGTAAAGCTCATTTAAAGGGATAAAAATACAGCTTTTCTTTTTTCTTAAATAAAGCCAGACTTGAAAGTGTGAGTGAACTTAATGCTGCCAGATTTGGAGGCTAGGAGCTGAACTTGGGACTTCTGGAAGATCCAGAAGTACTCTTAAGTGCTGAGCCATATCTGCCTCTTCAGCAGGTATTGGATTTTTTGCTATAAAATGGGCTTTTGTGTTAAATGGTTTTGCCTCGCTATAGGATAATGCATGCCTGCTGAGCATGGTTAGGCAGAGCTCAGTTATGATGGTTATCAGGTTAGATTTTTAAATGCATATAAAGATGCCAGATCCCAGAGTTCATTGAGATGTAACCCATTTTAAGTTAAAACATCATACTGTGTAAAGAGCTAACCCTTACCCTTACTCCCATAGTAGCAAATGACAGGAATATTTCCTAAGGACAGAATGCCAGTTTTGACTTCCACATGTCTGTATTTGTCAAAATGTGAAGTTGTCCCTATTAGACTGCAATACCTCACTTACTCTATTTCAAATTATTCTGACATTTGTTTGTCTTTTCTGGATTATTTTTCCCCATCTTTCTTGGTAATTGCAGTGTGTCTGTCTGGTGTCCTGAAGAAAAATCTTTCTATATGGTCTGTGAATTCAAGAAAACCTAGTAACAGTATGACTTGATGCCCAGAAATGGGTAGAACTGTTTTCTGTGTTGACTTCTTGAGCAGGGGGGAAAAAGCTACTTCCCAATATGTTTCTATTCTGAAATAAATATCAAATTATAAATAAGACAAACTAGGTGTAATAGTACAATTGCAGCCCTCAGGAGGCTGAGGCAGAGCTATATGGAAAGATCTTGTCATCAAGAAAAAAAAAGGATATAATACATTTTCCTTTCTCTCTTGATCAAATAAAATGATCACAGGTTTCCTAAAGTGTCTCTGAAGAATTAGGATCTGGTGGGGCATCTTGAACTGGAGACTTGTGGTCAGGTCGGGTCTCTGCGGCAGCTCAGCCTTGACTGTGCAGTGTTACCTGGAGAGCTTTGACAGCTGTTCATATGCCATTGCCTGTCTTACTCCATGGAGGGTGCACACCATTGATTCGGGGGTGGGGAGTGTTTCTGTTTGCTTTTAGCTCAGGGTCTTGGTATCCTAAGCTTTTTAAACTTTGATGAGTAGGTAAGGATGACCTTAAACTAATCTTCCTGTCTCCCCCTCCCAACCAAGTACTGGGAGTGTAGATTAAGTCTCAAATTAATCTGACCAGCTGCCATAAGGTCCTAAAAGAGAGAAGGCTGTTTACCCGAGTTCAAAGAGATATTCTGCAACCTTCTCAGTCAAACATTCTGATATTACATGTTATCTACTATGAAAAGTTGCCCTCATGTCTCAGAAAACTTGCTGTGTTAAGGTGGAATCTTGGTCAGTCTCTCCATTATTACAGGAAGGTTGCATTTCTTTTAACCATCTCTTGTCTTCCCAAAGCACAAATCATGAATATCTGGGCAAAGTGATCTCAAAGTTAGTTCATCTCCTAGAACTTGTCTTGCTTTCCTAGTTTCTTTCTACACCAAGATAGCTAGTAGCCAGGTCTACTATAATTTCAGAAATAAAATTATAAAAACGGTCTTAGTGTGTTTATTAAAGTTCATTATATATGCTCTAGCAGTCTCCACTTTAAATGCACATCTACTGTTGAACAACCACCATTAATCCTAGAATGTTTCCATCTCATTCCTCATCCCTTGGAAGCTCGTATCTTTTAACAGGTGGTCATCATTTCTGAGCATTCTTCTGGGTGTTTTTGCCCAACCTGAGGCTAGTGCACTCCACATGCTGTGTCAGCAGCCAACATGTTTCAAAGAAAGCCTACAGAGCCCAGTGAAGGTTTTTCTAATTGTTCTTACAAACAAAATGCCAATGATTTTTGTTGGTTGGTTTTGTTGTTTTTTTTTTTTTCTTCTTTTTGTTACACACTAGTATTAGCCACAGATGGGGGGGGTGTGGACAAAAACAAACAAAAACACTGTTGTGAGGTTAGGGATGTGGCTCAGTTGGCAGAGTGCTTATCTGGTATATATGAAGCTGGTTTCCATTTCTACTTACATCTACGTTTTCAATTCTTTAAATCAAAACAAGAACAATATAAACAAGGATCCTTGGATTCCCACACTAGGTAAATGGCTTATTTCTCTCATTTGTTGAGACCAAAAAAGGCTTGACAAGGAGCATTTTGAGGGAGGGTTTGATTCTGCTACCAAGGTGGGGAAAATACAGTGGAGTTCATAGTGGTGGTATAGGTGGCTGGAACTCATACCTTGCTGACTAAAAACCAGAGACACTGGCTAGTGGTGGGGTGAAGCTGTAACCCTGCAGGCTGGCTTCCCAACCAACTCACAGATAATGTTCTGTGCCCTAAAGGTTCCAAGGCCTCCCAAAGAGCACTACTACCAGGGACCAAGTGTTAACAGATAAGCCTGTGAGGGTATCTCACATCTGTAAACATGGGTTCTTGCATAGAAACTCAAGAAAACTTTGCTACTGATTTCCTGAAAGTGTGCTTTATTGCCAATACCTTTTCCCACTTGCTGCTAATACAACAGTTCTGCACTCTATGCTCTTCTTTCT